TTTCTCCATCCCTGTCCATAAGCCCCACCAACGGCAGTATGCTTTCAGCTGGTAAGGCCAACAACATACCTTTACTGTCCTACCCCAAGGGTGTATCAGCTCTCTCACCCTATGTCATAATTTCTCCACGGGGTCTTTGATCGCATTTCCCTTCCACACGACATCACAGTCGTCCATTACATTGATGACATTACGTTGATTGGACCTAGTCAACAAGAAGTAGCAAATACCCTAGACATATTGGTGAGACATTTGTCTCAGAGAGTGGGAAATAAATATGACAAAAATTCAAGTGCCTTCCAATTTACCAAAATTTCTAGGGGTCCAGTGTTGTGGGACATGTCAAGATATCTCTCCTAAGGTAAAGAACAACTTGTTGCATCTGGCCCTCTGACAATAAAAACAAAACAAAACAAAATAAAAAACAGTACATACCTAACAAGCATCTTTGGAATTTGGAGGCAACACTGTTTTCTATATTGCTCATGTAATTCATTGGTCTTACCATGTTGCCCATAATCCTGGAGCAGCTGGCTTGAGAAAATGGTAGAATAGCCTTTTGAAAGCTCAGTTACAGCACTAGGTAGGTGGCGGTATCTTGCAGGGCTGAGGCAATGTTCTCCAGGAGGCTATATATGCTGTAAAATCAGCATCCAATATATGGTGTTCTTTCTTCCAGAGCCAGGATTCACAGATCCAGCAATGAAGGGGTGGAAATGGGAGCTGTGCCACTCACTATCACCCCTTGTCCACTGGCATGATTTTTGTTTTCTGTCCCCAAGTTCCTATGCTCTTTAGTTCTAGCAGACTTTGTTCCAAAACCAGTAATACCTCAACCAGGAGACACAATGATTCTATTAAACTGGACATTAAGATTACCACTCTGCCACTTTGCACTCCTCATGCCTCTGAATCAACACATAAAGAAGAGAATTACTGTACTGACTATGGTGACTAGTCCTGATTGCCTGGGGAAACTGGGCTGCTACTGCACAAGGAAATAAAGAAGGGTATGTCTGGAATACAGGAGATCCACTAGATCTGTTTTACCAAGCCCTGATTAAAGTCAATGGAAAACTTTAAAACCCAATACAGGAAGGACAACGAATGGCTCAGATTCTTCAGGAATGAAGGTTTGGAATATCTCACCAGGCAGAATCCCAAATAGACAAGTTGCTTGCTGAGAGCAAGGAAATATGGAACAGGCAATGCAAGGTGTTAAAAATACCAGCTACAACCACATGTCGAATTGCCAAAACAAGAACTGTGATTATGTCTGTGTACTTATGTATACAAATATGTATATATTGCACATACACACATATATATACTGAACAAATCTTTTTCCCCCTCCTTTATCCTCTTAGCTAATGTAAGATATATTAATAGTATCCTTACATCGCAGTATTAAGGTACAGGATAGCAAGGAAAAAAGTGATCACCAAGGACTTTGCATCCTCCTTTGGGGAATGGATTGCATCCACTTCTGAGGAAACCTCCTCCAGGGAATATTCGTGGTTGTACATGTTAGAAGTACAACCTAGTTACTGTCTTTATTTGAATAGAGACTAAAATATGGTTTAAGATGCATACAGGCCAGGTGCAGTGGCTCATGCCTGTAATCCCAGCACTTTGGGAGGCTAAGGCAGGCAGATCACCTGAGGTTGGGAGTTCAAGATCAGCCTGGCCAACATGGCAAAAGCCTGTCTCTACTAAAAATACAAAAATTAGCCAGGTGTGGTGGTGCACGTCTGTAATCCCAGCTACTCGGGAGGCTGAGGCAGGAGACTCGCTTTAACCCGGGAGGCAGAGGTTATAGTGAGCTGAGATCAGGCCACAGCACTCCAGCCTAAGTGGCAGAGTGAGACTGTCTCACAAAAAAACAAAACAACAACAAAAAACCCAAAGAAGATGCATACAGGTGCCAAGCTGACTAAGAGTGGACTGTGAAGGTTAGTTTTGTGCATCAACTTGGCTAGGACACATTGCCTAGTTATTAAAAAACTATTATATTAAAAAACTATTATAAAACTTGAATCTAGGTACTCCTGTGGACGTATTCTGGAGTTGTACTTAACATTTATAATCCCTTAAATTTAAGTAAAAAGAGAAAATCCTCCATAATGTGGGTGAGACTCATCCAATCAACTGAAAGGCTTTAAGAGCAAACCTGAAGTTTCCAAGAGGAAGAACTTTTGCTCCCAAACCACAGCCTCAGCTCCTACCTGAGACTTTTCAGTCTTCTGACCTGTCCCACAGATTTTAGACTTGCCAGTCCCCACAATCGCATAAGCCACCTCCTTGAAATAAATACTCATATATCCAACTGCTTCTGCTTCTTTGGAGGCCCTCAGATAACTTTCTTCCCCAAATATCCCATTTTATTGTTTGTTGAAATATTTTATTTCTAATTTTGTATTTTTGAACAGTTAAAAACTCAAAGTACAATGAAGTTTACAATGAAAAGGAGCACTCCTGGGATCCTTATCCCCCAGGTATCTAGTTCCACTCCTTGGAGACTACCAATGTGATCAGGTTCTTCCATGTATATCTTCAGAGACAGTCTACCATATACAAACAAATATGAATACACACATTTTTCTTCTTATACATCAATTGTAGCATGCCACACAGTTTCACACCATGCTTTTCTCAGTAAACATTATTATGCCTTAGAGATCCTTTCATCTCAGTACCTAAAGCACTTCTTTATTCCTTTTTCCACTGGGCAAATGAAATTTGTTTCACCAATCCTGTGTAATTTATTATCTAAAGTGAGACACTGAGAGTGAAAGGAGCACGATTAATAATTATACCAAGAACAGCAGGTATAAACTGATAGTGTTCAAAAAGCCAGAGCATACGGTTATCCTACCTATGGCAGATATTTAGGTTGCTTCCAATTCTTTGATGTTACCAAGTTGCAAATAATATACTTGTAAATACATACTTTTGCACATCTATGTGCTTTGTTTGGTAGGATAAATTTCTAGAAGTGGAATTGCAGGGCAAAAGGTTATGTATGTGAATTTAAGTTTCACAGACTGCCAACTGCTGTACATAAAGAGTATAACAAGTTACACTTCCCTAGCAGGCACAGAGAATGCCTGCCCTACTTATTGGATAATCCTTTTCCCATTGTGATCCCATCTTTATCACAATGTTTTAAGCCCTCACATGTATGATACTGAAATCTTTTTTGGGTGAGTACATACCATTGATATCTAATTGTGCATTCAGTTCTGTACTACCTTTCAAAAATAGTTAATCTAGGTTTATATTACCCTTTCAAAAACTTCTTAGCTATTTTCACCTACTTATTTTTCCAGATGAACTATGGGATAGTTTCTCTATTATACCCCCTCAGAAATTTTAACAGTGGCAGCATTCAACATGTAAAGGTTAAGTAGCTCCATTTATAATCATTTCTTTTTCTAGTTTTCGATATACAATTATTACCTGCAAATAGAAATCTGGCCACTTCATTTCTAAAAGACATTGTTTAATGCACCATTGCACTGGCAAAATTTCCTGAACATTATTAAATAATAATCCAGATAATGGGAATTCTGGATTTTAATAAGTACATCTAATATTTCAATTGTAACAATTAACTACAGTCATGTGTTGCTTAACAATGTGGATACATTTCGAGACATGCTTTGTTAGGTGATTTCATCATTATATGGACATCATACTGTACTGACAGGAACCTCAGATGGTATAGCCTACTACTACACACCTAGGCTATATGGTATAGCCTGCTGTTCTGACCACCCTCGTATGTGGTCTTTCATTAACTGAAACATCATTATATGGTACATGACTGTATTTATAGTTTTTTTGCAAGTAAAGCATTATATCTCTTGCTTCTACTTTATTTGTAAAGGCTATTTTCTTGCCCATTTTAGGTGCCTCTAGTCTGTGGTTCTATACCATCCTATGTATAGCTTTATCATAGCACTTTCTATACCTGCTTCCTTTACTGACCTCTAAGTTCTTTAAAGGACAGTATCACAAATTAATCTCATATTTACACTGGAAGGAGGGCGGAAGGATGGAAGGAAGAAAAAGTAGCACATGGCCTGGTGCTGTAGCTCACACGTGTAATACTAGCATTTTGGGAGGCCAAAGCAGGCGGATCACTTGAGGTCAGGAGTTCAAGACCAGCCTGGCCAACATGGTGAACTCCTGTCTCTACTGAAAATATAAAAATTTGCCAAGCACGATGGTGTAAGACTGTAATCCCAGCTACAAGAGAGAATGAGGCATGAGAACAGCTTGAACCCAGGAGGCAGAGGTTACAGTGCGGCAAGATCATGCCACCACTGCACTCCAGACTGGGCAATATGGCCATGGCAAGACTCTGTCTCTAAAAAAAAAAAAAAAAAAAAAAAAAAAAAAGAAAAAGCAGCACAGCACCTAGCCAATTGCCTCACTGCACAATTTTAGGGATAACAATCACACATATTCTATGTGAAAAGCAACTCCCAGAGCATAGAAATATGATGTGACATGAATGGTGCTTCTTAGAATTGTGCAATGTGATAGCTCTGCTGACTGGCACACAGGTGCTCAATGCACATCTACTGAACTGTTCCAGGGAAAAATTGATTGTCAAAGAAACTAGAAAGAAATTAACAACTCTGAATGATAGACTGTATTCCTGAACATAAAGGGCATATTCTAGAACTGTAGTACCTCTTTCATGGAGATTAAATTAGCTTCATGCCTGAGGTTTCTTGGTTTCTTTTCTGTTTTGTTTTTGAGACGGAGTCTCTGTTGCCCAGACTAGGGTGCAGTGGCGCAATCTTGGCTGACTGCAACCTGAGGTTTCTTTTCCAATTAACAGTTTACACTTCCAATTAACAGTTTAAAACAACCTCCAAACCAATACCTACAAGAAACACTCATTATTTATTCATGTGGCTGAAAGAGTAATTAAGTTTAGATTTTTGGAAAAAGTCTGAACAAAAACAGGACCTATATAGTGCTCAAACTATATTTTTAAAAATACTATTTTATTTTTACTCACGTATGAAAAAAATGGCTATACTATCATGTTTACATACATACTAACATTGGAAACAGAATAACGAATTGTATTTAAATTTTATAAAGAACACACAAACATTAAAACAGTGATTGGTTACAGAAAGCAGAGTTTGAGGAAAAACCATTAGCTATAATTTTCATTTTCATTAAAGAGCAGCACCCTCTGAGAATAATCAAACTGATTAGTAATATTCACCTATACTGTAAAATAATATGTACAAAGTTAGTGATTGTACTGATTTTATTACTTTTATCAAGCCATTTTATGTTCCTCACTCAATGCAAAGAAATAAAACATAATCTGAAGAAAAATATGTCCTTATTATTATTCACAATAAAAAGTTGGCTTCATTCTGCAAGCCTGGGCATATTGTACAATTGGGAGCACTCAACGGCTCAAGTGGATCGATGTACCAGTTTGATTCTGATCCACTGAACAGAATCTCTCATCCATATCTGGCGACCAGACTAACTCCATGGGAGCTGTGATAGACTGAACCATTTCTGTGGTATCCCTAGATCACACTAAATAAGAAAGACGCTACACCAGAAAATATAGCAACTGATCTATCCATAAATTAACATCTATATGCTAGCTCTTTAGTATAAGTTGGAAAAAGTGGCCCTTTCTTGAGCACATGGATAAAAGTATTATTGTAGTCTAAAGATTGCTGGATTGATAGTGTGTTATTATAATGAAGATAAGGTACACACTGAAACCACTGTCAGATTAAGAAACTTCCACAACTTGTCTCAATTCTTCAAATAATGGAGCAAGTTCCTTTTCTAGGCTGACAATTAGTCCTAAAATAAAGAGATTAAGAAAATTACATGTTAGAAAAATGTTCCTCAAAGTCTGAAATTCAAATTTCCTCAAGCCCAAAATACATAGTTACCAAAAGTAAATCAGAACATAGTTTATTTCCCATGACTGAAACAAAATACAGGTTGAATATCCCTAATCCAAAATGCCGGGTACCAGAAGTGTTTTGAATTTTGGAATATTTGTAAAATACTTACTAGTTGAGCATCCCTAATCCAAAAATCTCAAATATGAAATGCTCCAGTGAGCATTTTCTTTGAATGCCATATTGGTGCTCAGAAAATTTCAGACTTTAGAATGTTTTGGATTTCAGATTTTTGGATGAGGGATGTTCAACCTGTACTATAACCCTAAATAAAGTAACCAAAAACTCTGTAGTCATTAATAAGTTTATTTTCAGCATCTATTACTGAAGTAAATGAGTGAAAAATACTTATATATTAGGAAATACAGAATAAATTATATGCACTATAATTTGTTAGAGTTCTAGAACGAAAATCTTAATTTATACCTTACTGTTTCAAAATTTGCATTGACTCAGAAATAATACATATAATTTTTACTAAATCAGGCACACTTCTGTCTCCGAGCAAATTTTAATGGATTACATCAAAAGATAGGTAGATAGCTTCTATACTGAACAAAGGAAATCAGAAATTTATTTTTATAAATTCAACAAAGCTAAGACATAAATAAATATTTCAAATGAAAAAATATTTTAAAAATAAATGGTAGAGTATAAAACACACTGGAGTTCATTGATGAACCTGGGAGATAAACATCTAGAAATCAGCATATCTAGCTTCTCCTTAGTTTACTAGAGTGAAAGGCTACCTACCTCAAACAGAGCCTGTTTTATGTTCAAACAAATAAAGATCTTTCTCTGTCTTATAGAACATAAAAAGTATCTGGACTCTCAAGGAAAGGGTCCAAGTACTAAAATATTGTTCTGTACATTATCATAATATACAACAACTGGTGACTTGGTATGTGATAGGTCATGTACCAAAATTGAGATTTAGTATATTTCATAAATATACTTAAAATCTAAACACCATTACTATCCTATATAATTCAGAAAGTGCTTTTACATATAGTATTTTACAGATTTCTAAAATGTTTCAAAATGGAAGAGATCTAATAGATCATCAAATCTAAACCTCTCATTCTAAAGATAAGGTATCTAAGAACAGGCTTCAGTGACATAGCTAGAAGAATTTGCTCAGCTTGGAGAAAAATCAAACAGAAAAAAAATACATTACAATTCTCAACAGCAATCAAATCTAAAGGAGACAGACCTTTTAATAAAAACCCTACTTTATATAAAATGAAGTAAAAAAATTACAACCAAGTGAATAATCATTATTTTACACATAAATATTCGGTGAAAGTACTGGATACAATGGAATTTGTATCCTCTATAAAGGATACAGCTTCCTAGCATTTGTTCTCAAATTCTTCAGTTCTCAAGAAGAATGAGACTACGTTCGTCTTATTCAGGCTCTTTAAATTCTCAATCACATTCATTTTCCCCATTAGGTAAAATTTTAAAAATTCTAATTTAATAGATTGGTCTATAATTCATCAATCATTTTAATGCATTTTGTTGGGTTATTTTCACCTTGTTTTCTTAAACTGCTGTAATGGGAGCAAGATGTAGCACTCAAGATAATATTTAATTTTCCTGTCTCCAAAAAAAAAAAAAAAAATCACTTACCCATACGGTCTCATTTGAACTAGAAAATAAATTGTAAGATGGAGAAAGCATATATTATCTCCATTATACAGATATGGAAACTAGGATTCAGAGAAATCACTTCCCAAGACATGGAAAAAAGACAGTGAAACTGGGCCACAAGTTCAAGATTTTTGGCTCTAAATCTACTATTCCTCTTAAATTAAGGTATGGTAATTAAATTAATTTTTTTAAATTAAGGATTAAAAGTGATATTTAAGGTAATTAAACACACCTGTATTGGCACTGCTGCTGGCTATGAAACTCACCACCAAAGGTAAACGATTAAACTGAACCACCTAAAAAGAAAATAAGAGCCAAATAATATGTTGCATTGTGAAAAGGTAGTATAACTAAACTGAAATGTCTTAATCTTTCAAAACCTTTAAAATGATTAATGTTTTAGTCCAACATCATAGTATTACATTATGAAATAGAAAGGAACTTTCTATTTCAGTGAATATTTCCATAATTAGTGATGATCTCTTAGAGACATTAATACCATTGAGCCTGGAAAGTTTTTAAGGTGAAACCATGTCTTCATTTTTTTTATCTCTAAAGCCCAGCAGAATGTCAATTACATCATAAGGACTTAATAAGTAGTTGATAATTAAATGGATAAATACAGTAGTTCTCAGTCATTCAGGTAGGTTTATCTTCACGATATTTTCTGGCTCTTGTGTATTACAGTAATTTAAATTAAATTTAAAATAACTTTAAATTAACTACCTTCAAAAAAAAAAAAACTTAGTTTCAACCTAATCCTTATTTGAAATTAAAGGTCAGATGGTTTGGTTATGTTTTACCTAATACATATTAAAATATGTAACTTTTAAAATAAAAGATGGGCCTGGCATGGTTGCTCACGTCTGTAATCCTAGCACTTTGGGAGGCTGAGGTGGATGGGATCACTTGAGGCCAGGAGTTCAAGACCAGCCTGGCCAACATGGTGATAGCCCATCTCTACTAAAAATACAAAAATTGGCCAGGCCTGGTAGCACATGCCTGTAATCCCAGCTACTTGGGAGGCTGAGGCTTGAGAATCTCTTGAACCTGAGAGGCGGAAGTTGCAGTGAGATGAGATCATGTCACTGCACTCCAGCATGGGGCGACACAGGCAGACTGTGTCTCGGAAGAAAAAAAAAAAAAAAGAGTAACTTAACATCAATTGATTAGGAAACATAGCTCTAAAGCACAAGGAATTAATTCAGTCTTAAGAAAATATAGCTTGAGATCAAGAGACATGTAAAAACTAACTTCTTTCCCACAAATAATAACCTCATTTATTACATATATATGTTTCCAAAAAATGAAGGAATTAGCAGCAAGAGCAAATTTAATAAACTTTCAAGGAAAGTTTTTTTTATCTGTTACTACAACAAAAAAAGTGTGTCATCTGAGAAATTACAGTTGTTTAGCTAAGGGCACCATCTACTGGAGATAACAGTGACCTGACGTACACTTTTTAGGATAACATGTACTTTATTAAGTCACTTAATTACTTTTCCATCGTAATTATTTCCTGGTATAAAATGTGAAGAAAATTACTACCGTTTAACACAACCAATTTGAAGGCTAAAATTTTACAATTTCATCCCCTTCAAAACTAAAATTGAGAACTATAACACAAACTATTTTATATATAAAAGGCACAAAAATGACAACTGAAATCAGCAAATCATTTGATAATTATGAACTTACCTGGTAGGTGTTATAGTAACAGATGATACTTTTATTTTTTGAAAGTCCAAGTTTGCTCCCTTGGTCTGTTGCCAGGGCAAAAGTGGATAAGAAACCAGGTCGCAACGCATGCTCCGGAGCATTGTCATTGGCCACTAGAAAAATAAGTGATTTAAATAAAAATTATGCAGAGGATATGATAGAGAGATTTACAGCCCTTTTTCATAAACCTCTGTTTAAAACTGAGCACAAAGGTTACGTTTCACAATATTGAAAATCATATCACTAATGGGGTCTCATCACTAATCAGGAAAAATTGCTCAGTCAAAAGTTCACTGATCACAAATAAGAGAAGAAATGCTGACTCTCACAATTTTTTTAAATTTTAAAAAGAAAATTAAATGTTTACCTTTTCTTGATATCTAACTTAAAACATAGATTAATCAAGCACATTTAACTGGTTATCTGAGGACTAGGTTAGAATAAACTAATGAAAAAAGTTACAAAACTTCTGCTCTTATAAAACCCACAGCAAGGAATATCTCTCATAGATATTAGCAATCTGCAGCTAGTTACCTGTTTCATGTTTCTCTCACTCATTAAAAGGTCTGCATGGAGTTTGTTGTATTAATGAGTGCAGGGCTCAAGGCTTTAACACAGATATCCTCATGAAGAACATTAGAACTGGAAAATCTGAGATTATTTTGTTCAAATCCCTCATTACAGAATTAAGAGAAAGCAAGTAATCTGTCCATAACCATTCAATGACCATTTTATAGTGAGTTAGAAAGCACACTGGACCACACATCAGGAGGTGATGGGTTCTGTTACTGACTCACGCCCGACTTTGGACTGCAATGTTTGAAGATTATAAACCACAGGACCTCCTTTGTTGATATTCCATGTTCTTATAATGTGTTTGTCAAAATTCTCCCAGAAATGGAATCAATGTCTATTATAGAAATGTTTATAATCTTTACAAATTCATGCAGTTTATTAATAAGAATCTAAGACACAGCTAACTCTCCACTGAAACTGCTAATGAAGTCCAAGTGTCTTTGCACTTTATCACCTTCACTTATAAAATGAAAGAACTAAATCAGTTGACTTCTAAACCTCCGTTCATTTCTAAAGTCTAAAATTATCTGACATATATGACAACTCTAGGTGGAAAATTGTACACAAAATATACAGAACATTATCCAATCTTTAATGTTTGATAAAGCCATTACAGTGTCCCAAAAAAACTAGGAACATCCATGCTCATAATACCATAAAATAAAAATAGTAAAAAATTGTCTGAATCCATACTGACTCTCTGTAACATCATGTTTACTTATGATTCAAATACATGGGTATTATCCTAAAACAACTAGCAATTTGATAAAGTGTGTGTGTGTGTGTGTGTATGTAATGTAGGGGTGTCTGTGTGTTTATCTAGCTGCCTACATGCTCACTCTCATCACTTAGATTTACTAATGGTTTACGTTGCACTGTAAATGTCTTTAACGGGAAATGGGTCTGTGATAAATCCATGCTTAAACTCTAGATGTTAACATGATACACCTGATATATAATACACTGTAGATTCAAATTCAACCTTCAACATACAAAAGCAAACACTTCCGCCAATACTAAGACCACCATCTCCTAAAATTTACTAAAATGAATTTTACAGGTTTGCTTGCTGTACTACTCAGATGTAAATTACACGCATTTTTAGTCAAAAGCAAAGAAGATATTTGCATTTAAATGTTCACTTTTACCTTTAATAACAGGTACTCCATCTCTATCTGATACAACAATGGCATGGAGCCCTTCAACACTAGAAAAAGAAAATAGTTAAAATATAAAAAAAGTTAAAATATAAAATATTTCATTTTCTCAAACTATGCACCTCAAAGACATAATAATTCTCATGTATTTTCTGAAAAACCACAGGACCCCAAAATTCTCCCAGAAATGGAATCAATGTGTATTATAGAAATGCTTATAATATTTATAAATTCATGCGGTTTATTAATAAGAATCTAAGACAAAGCTAACTCTCCATTAAAACTGCTAATGAATGATCAGTCCATGGTTTACAAAAGCATGAAAGATTATCAGCAATGGCTACAGTGACAAAAAAGAGCCTTCTTTTTTCATTCATGCAAATATTAAATGGCCGGTGTTTGTGGCACTTAATACTTTGATACTATGAAAAACAGAAATAAGCACAATCATTGCCTTCACATGGCTTCCGATCTAAAAAGTGAGTGTGTTATCAATAATCTCACAAGAACAAACGTAAAACTAAAATTGGGGGCAAGTATTGTTAAAAAGTTCATAGGGGCCAGGCACGGTGGCTCACGCCTGTAATCCCAACACTTTGGGAGGCTGAGGCGGGCGGATCACGAGGTCAGGAGATCGAGACCATCCTGGCTAACACGGTGAAACCCCATCTACTGAAAATACAAAAAAAAAAAAAAAAATTAGCCGGGCGTGGTGGTGGGCACCTGTAGTCCCAGCTACTCAGGAGGCTGAGGCAGGAGAATGGCATGAACCCGGGAGGCGGAGCTTGCAGTGAGCTGAGATTGTGCCACTGCACTCCAGCCTGGGCAACAAAGCAAGACTCTGTCTCAAAAAAAAAAAAAAAAAAGTTCATAGTGATATGAGAACCTAGAAAACAGGAGGTTGATGCAGACAGGGAAGGCTTTCTGAGGCAGTAATATCTCAGCTGAGATGTTATGGTATTAAGTGAAAAGACGTGGAAAGACTGTTCCTGGCTGAAGAAACAGGGCAAAACGAATGAAGGCCATGCAGCAATCCTTTCAGCCATGCTTACATAAGTAGTAAGCAGAATGGTCAAGCTATAGCTCTAAAGTTAGAAAGACCTGGGTTCCAGTCCAGGCTCTGCCACTGATTATTTATGCTGTCTTGGGCTAGTTATGAAACCTTTATAAGCCTCAGATTAACTATCTGAAAAATGGGAATAACTGTACTTACTTAGATATTGTGAAATTTAATACAACGCACATAAAGTGTAGGCTGGCACATAATTCGAAAATATCACTTATTAACTAATACCAATGGTGTCAATTGTGCACAGTGACAATGACATAATTTATCACTAAAGTTTAAGTATTAAATAATCAGTGAGAATCCCTGGGAAATTAGCAATTAAGAAATACATACAGTAGAGCACAAAAGTACTGTGTTAAAAAATATAAGGTGACACTCCTCAACTTTCAACATTTATGCAAAACCCTTTCATTGTAACATAAAACTTATAGTCCTGTAACTATCTTATGGAATCTATAAACTACAACTCAGAGATATGTTCAATATCCCTACAGCAACCCGGAATTATCTATTCTTTGCGTTAACTTTAAAGTGTTAACTTTAATGTATTAACTAAGGAATAAGAAATAGTATATTAACCTTATGTTTAAATACTGACATTGAGTTTTTAAAAACCCCATTGCAAAAACTTTTAAGTCAGAGAAGTGTTATTAAATGCGAGTGGAAAATGTTACAAACAAAATCATTTGTCTTCCTTACACAAAAAATAAGAATAAAATAACTTTATAAATGACTTTTATACTATTTTTATCCTATTATTGGCATGATTTCCTATTCATTCAATCCTAAACTTATTTATGGATTAAAATATATCTCTAAGATTAATACATAACATAGGCCAGGCACGGTGGCTCATGCCTGTAGTCCTAGCACTTTGGGAGGCCAAGGTGGGCAGATCACCTGAGGTCAGGAGTTTGAGACCAGCCTGGAAAACATGATGAAACCCCGTCTCAATTAAAAATACAAAAATTAGCCGGGTGTGGTAGTGCTTGTCTGTAATCCCAGCTACTTGGGGGACTGAGGCATGAGAATCATTTGAACCTGGGTTGCAGTGAGCCAAGATCGCGCCACTGCACTCTAGCCTGGGTGACAGAACGAGACTCTGTCTCAAAAAAAAAAAAAAAAAGAAAAAAAAAAAAACCTAAACAGATAAATACATAAAATAAATATATTCTTCTAAGTTAAAAACTAGATTATACAAAACATATCCTACAGATATTTGTACATATGCCAATTATTTTGTGCAGTTACCAAAAGCAACATCATTTGAAACAGTAAAGCATTACAAACCCAACTGTCCATCAAGAAGGACAAGGTAAGATATGATATACACCTACAAAGGAATACTCTGCAGTCATGAGAAAGAGGAAGTTCTCTATGTACCAGGAAAGATTACTCTCAAAGTTACATTCTTAAGTGAAAAAATACAGTTTAGAACAGTGTATACAAGCAGCAATAAATTATGTACCAAAATGTGCAGGCATATGTGTATGCTGTGTGTATAAATATGTGTATATACATGTCTGCTCATAGGTACATAAAATATCTGTACAGATAATGGTGGGTGCCTCTGTGAGGGGAAACTGTGCATGTGGCTGGAGAGGAAGGATGGGCAGCTACTCACTCTATGTTCTTCAGTGAACTCCTGAATCTGAACTTTATGAATGTACTACCTACTCCCCAAATAACTTAAAAAACAGGTAAAGAGGACCACAAAAATGTTTAGAAAAATTAGTGCCACCACAGGTAGCTTCTTTTTTAAAATTTCCATGGAAATTACTTTAAATACAACTAATGCTCCAAAGAAAATAAAAGGACTTTCTTTCTGATGGACTTCACAGAGAAATGAATTCAAGAAAGTAGAAAAATTACTTACACTCTTAAGTATAAAATTTTAGAAATCAGGTCCCAATATAAAAGCTGTTTTGAATTCTACATACAATGCACAAAGAGTAATATGAATAGATTTTACTAATAATTAAAAATAACTGGCTCATGAAGAGATATTACACTTTTAGAAGAAATGAATTAAATTTTGTGAAATATTCTGAAGAAATCTAAACCTTAAGCTTACTAAAACAACCATTTTTTTCTAAAAACAAATGTTGCAGTACTAATGAAAGTCATCAGATTTAGTTTTATACACATAATTATGAAATATTTGATTATTTTAAAACATACAAAGTGGGATTATTAAAGCCTGAGACTGCTTTGGGTCACAATCAGATTTTAAATTGCAAACGCAAGAACGATATTTTGCAGAGAATTCAAAAAATGCACAAAAACACACATTAGTATCCGTAGCTGGCAGACTTTGTTACTGAGAGGCACTGAGGTTCAACAGTTAAAAGCATGAATCCATGGCTCTGAAGCAGGATGCCTGCATCCAAACCCATAAATCTAGCAACAAATCAAAGTGTATTCTACTATTCTTCATGAATGTTCAAAACATTATTATTTCTTCATTATTATTGTTCTGGGATGCAGTAAGCCTAATTTCAGTAAATGATATGAGTTGAACTGGCTTTTTTTCATTATTTAAAAAAAACCTGACAGTACTAATACCTTTCCTGCCATTATGAAAGATTTTCATAAAGCTTTTAACAAATATCCTTTAACTGAATTTATTTCTTGGATAAGCACGACAACCTGATATCTCCCCTTTCGTTAAAAGGGGCCTATCATGGGGAGGGGGGAGGAGGGATGCATTGGAGTAACCTGATGTAAATGACGAGTTGATGGGTCAGCACAGCAACATGGCGCACAAGTATACATATGTAAAAACGTGCACGTTATGCACATGTACCCTACAACTTAAAGTATAATAATAAATAAATAATTAAAAAAAAAAAAAAAAAAAAAAAAAAAGACATCCGAATTCAAAGAAGGAGCAAGCATATACTTTCCAACTATTTCTGATCAACATTAGAACTACTCAGTAATATAATAAATACTTTTGGTATTATTCTCTAATTCCTTTATACAGACAGCTTCACCATACCCAGTGTCACACGCTATTATGACTTTCAGAGTACACTTAATAGTTAAAATGAGACCACCATTGTCTGAAACATTTTTGATACTTATAATCACAGATGATGTAATTAGAATCAATTATTGCTTTATTTATTAGATCTCCAGATGAATAATGGGTATCTTTCTGGTGGGTTTATAACTTAAGAACATTGAATGTAATTTTGCTGTTTCTTCAATAAGAGATGCTAACACTCAAAAGAGGATTGTAAATCACTAAGACTTCTAAGTGAATTAACTGCACTATTAACTATTTTGTCATATCGCCAGTGTAGTGGGGTATCTCTCCATTCCAATTTGAGCACCCCTTATGCTAAGATAACTACAGAAAAATACAGAAAGTACTCATTTTGCATAGTTCCAATATGCACATTTTAGTTAGTATGGTTAAGTAACACCACTTCCTGCAGAAGAGCACAGGTCAAATTTTAGTTAGCATGGCATAATACCTGAATAACTGCATAAAGTATAAACTTTTCTAATTCTTTAGTCTACAAATCATAACATAAATAATTACGCAACTAAGAGATGCACACTGTCATTAGTAACTAGCCACATCATTTCTTTCAAAGTATGTTGATGGTTGGTCACTGTGCATCTGTTATGCAGTTCATGCAGAGATAGCAAAGCATGTAGTTTTGTACCTCCTTGTCTCCCAATGATAAAGTATGTGACATTTAGAAAAAGAGATAATAAAAAGAGGAAACTGGCCGACAAAGATGAAATACAGCAAAGAAATGAAAAGTAATAATGCTGGAAGTGAATTTCAAATAAAGAGTTACAGAAGAAACAGGTGACCAAGGGAATGCTGACACTATCCCTCTAGATACACAGAGAACTCAGTGAAGGCAAACTTATTGACATAAATGAGGAAAGCGGTTGTGACGAAAATTTTCCAGAGGACATGATGCTGGCAAAAAATATTCATATTGGCCGGGCGCGGTGGCTCAAGCCTGTAATCCCAGCACTTTGGGAGGCCGAGGCGGGTGGATCACGCGGTCAGGAGATCGAGACTGTCCTGGCTAACATGGTGAAACCCCGTCTCTACTAAAAATACAAAAAACTAGCCGGGCGTGGTGGCGGGCGCCTGTAGTCTCAGCTACTTGGGAGGCTGAGGCGGGAGAATGGCGTGAACCCGGGAGGCGGAGCTTGCAGTGAGCCGAGATCAGGCCACTGCACTCCAGCCTGGGAGGCACAGTGAGACTCCGTCTCAAAAAAAAAAAAAAAAAAAATTCATATTAAAGGAAATCTCAGAGATACTTCAAAACATTGAAAATACACAGACAAAATACTTCATAAAATTAACATATGGCATATAGAATTTATTCAGTAACAAATTAAAAATTTCTTACCTTGGTAACTTTTTATACAAGAATCGCTTTAGGTCCTGAAAGAGAATATTAAAAAATCATGTTATAATAATAGGCCTTCCACTGTTTTCTAGATCCTGTCCTATCCAAATTTTAGGGACGTTCAGTTATCATTCATAACCTTTCTTGCTGTGTTTTATCTTTCTCTGTCTGATTTGGATGTTTACTAGTCATGCAACTTGGAGTATACTAACCTTTTTTCCCTAAGCCTATTTCATTATTTGTTGAATAGGGCTAATATAGAACCTACATCATAAGAGTGCTGTTAAAGTTTTTTGAGAAGTTGCATGGATTAGCATACCTAGAAATGGGAAACACAAATACATTTTAGCCATAAAAATATATCATAATTTTCATACTAGTGTTTTATATCCTGTTGCTATTGTGTTCACTTGAGAAGACATTATAAACACCTTTCCAGGTTCAAAGATAGACTTTCCACCATCATTTTAATGGTCTTGGGTAAGGTGATATGACTTCTGTAAGACTGGTCTCACATTATAAAAATATACCTTCCATTGTTTATTTGTTGAACTCACCTACTCAACAAATAATTAAACAGTGTAAGGCATATTATTATAACATAATTATTAAAATATTCTGTTTAAGGACCTAAAATAAATTATATATGACTATGTGAGGCAACAGTCTTTTTTTTTGTTTTTGAGAGGGAGTTTTGCTCTTGCTGTCCAGGCTGGAGTGCAATGGCGCAATCTCCGCTCACTGCAACCTCTGCTTCCCAGGTTCAAGGGATTCTCCTGCCTCAACCTCCGAGTAACTGGCATTATAAGCACCCACCTCCACGTCCCAGCTTATTTTTTGTATTTTTAGTAGAGATATGGTTTCACCATGTAGGCGAGGCTGGTCTCGAACTCCTGACCTAAGGTGATCCACCCGCCTTGGCTTCCCAAAGTGCTGGGATTACAGACGTAACCCACCACGCCCAGCCCAGACTTACAGAATATAAGATAAATGGCGAAGTGTGTCAAGTGTTTAACACTAAACACAGTTAAGACTAAAGAAATATAAGACTATTTTATTTTTCTAAGCTGGAGCTCACTGCAACTTCCAAGTTCTAGGCTCAAGCAATCCTTCCGCCTCACTTCCAGCATAGCTGGGACTACAGGGTTATCAATGCGCCTGGTTAATTTTTAAATTTCTTTTTGTATAACGGGGTCTTGCTACGTTGCCCAGGCTGATCTTGAACTCCCAGCCTCAAGTGATCCTTCCATCTCGGCATCCCAAAATGCTGAGATTACAGACTAAGCCACCGCACCGGCCAGAAGATTATCTTATTTTGTCTCATTACACTCTCTCATCCCAGGAATTTCACTGACACTTTAGGTATCAATTTTGACCTCGCATGGATTAATCAGATATCTGTTGTTTTGAGCCTCCAACACTTACTATTCTCCAAACCCGAATGATCATTTTATTTCATGTTATGACTATTGGCTTATTTTTGCTCTCATCCTACACACACACATACACACACACACACACACACACACACACACCCCTCATTTTATTTCATGTTATGTTTCTAAAGAGGCATGGGTTAGAAATCATCGAAAATTGCCACAATAAACCTAATAAGATATTGTTACCACTTACTGGAAAAAAGTATTCTGGGTACATGTCCTACTGACCAAATTCTGACAGGAAAAGCAGCCAACCATCATTCAGAATTTCAAATGGTAAATACACAGAGCCTCTCATACCCCAGCTGGATTGGTGAGTAGGGAGAATATAATTTTCTCAGTCTCAAGCACCTTAGTGTCCTCCACCCCCATTCGAGGCAGAAACTCAGGATCCTGCAAATTCATTCATATTAGTCTCCCATTTCACATACAAGAGAAAATAATTAACTGGGATGGGTGGGGATGGGAGGATCTTCTACCTCTCCCCGCTCAGTAGTCCCCTCCAAATTCCCCACTCTCCCTTCCTCTTATGTGGGGGTGTCACTCACATCCGCCATGATGAACCCCTTTCTCTCGCAGGATCAATCTCCACGCCTGGAAGAGAAACTCCCGGTGACTCTTACCTCTTTGGCTTCCTCGTCCTCCCCACCCCCAACTTAATAAGCAAGATCAGCCCTGGTCAGAACCCGGCAAAACCCCCGCGGTTCTAGGGCTTGGCCCAGCGAGCCCAGTGGGAGTCGGAGTGCCCCAACACCCCCACGGGTACTCAGCTGGCACGCCTTGCCTCAGCCCACCCCATCCCTGCCCCTCCACCCCAAAGAGCTAGGCCCAAAGAAAAGAAGAGGGGGCCCTCTCCTTCTGTTTAGTCTGACCACCCGCGCCACCTCCGGGACTAGGCCTCAAACCAGGCAAAGTAGCGCCAGTTACCTGGGGTTTCTGGGTTGCCTGGTTCTCTCCGTTGTCACTTCAGGGACAGCTTTAAAGACAGGTTCCTCCTCAAGCCACCGTCACATGATTGATGACCTCTTCTGCGCTCCGGGAAGCACTTTCTACGCCGTCGCCCCACGATACTGGATTTCCGGAAGGGCCTGGCGGAAGCTTCGAGGGCGCGGCCGCCCGACGCGCCCCGCCCCTCCCCCGCCCACCGCGGGCCGCGTCTTGCGCCTGCGCCTTGTGTCACGGGCCGAGGGACGTCAGCTGTGGGGTAGAGGATTTGTACGAGATCGCTGGACCCTGAGGACCCCAGAAAATGCAAGCAAGGTTATGTGTTACAAGACATTCTTGTGCAGAGAGGGTGTATAAATGTCATTAGTTTTTCAGGGTCCGTTATCTTAAAACCTTTTCTTGTAGATGAAGAAATTTGAGGGGATGGTGTGATGAGCTGAAGAGCAAGCAACAGATTGCCTGTGATTGGAAGTATCAGGTCCACAGGTTTCTGACTTGTTTTCTAGGTTCTTGTGACTTCCCCATGGGTGCTCTTTACTCAAGGCCTTATCTAGATTGAATGGGGAGGAGCCATGGGTTTTCTGGAGCACTTCAAGCGTCTACTTTTAACATGCAGACACGGGATTACGGGTACTTTCTATGTTCCCTTTTACATCAGAATTTTTAAAAATTAGTAAGGTCTCATATAATAAATAATAATTGGAAAAAAAAAAAAAAAAAAAAAGCCTTGCCGGGTGCGGTGACTGACGCCTGTAATCCCAGCACTTTGGGAGTCCGAGGCGGGACGATCCTTTGAGCCCAGGAGTTCCACACCAGCCTGGCAAGATAGAACCCCATCTCTACTACTACTACTACTACTACTACTACTACTACTACTACTACTACTAACAACAATAAAGAATTAGCCTTACGTGGCGTGCGCCAGGTACTCCGGAAGCTGAGGCATGAGGATCCCTTCAGCCCAGGGTTTGAGGCTGCATTGAGTGGTGATCGCCCCACTGAACTCCAGCTTGAGTGACAGAGCGAGATGCTCAAAAGAAAAGCTTCTTTAGAAATCACATCCTCTTTCAGCTACCACCCTGTTTTTCCTCTACTCCCTTTCATAGCCAAATTTTCAGAAAATTTTAGCCTGGTTTTTAATTGCTGCTTGCATGTCACAAATCTAATCAGAGTTCTGTTGATTCTACCTCCTATCTTTGAAAACTAGTCACCTATCTATGTTTGTACCCCAGTGCAAGCCATGATCATCTCTCTCTTGACAATAACCTCCTATTCTTCTTACATTCTCTTTTGCCCTCCAGTCTCCATAGAGCAACAAAAATGATGTTCTAAAAACCCAAATCGGATCATTTAACTCCTTTCTTGAAAATCAACTTTATCGACTTAGGATAAAGTTCAATATCAGCATCATGGTTTATATATTGTTCTTATGGGGATCTGGCCCCTATATTGATTCTCTCACCTACCCTGGATTCCTTATGCTATGATCATACAAGTTTGTTTCCACTTCCATAAAGATTTTTATCACTTTACCAACTCAGCACATTCTGCCTGAGATATTTCTCTAGCATACCTTAATCCTACTAATCTCTTCTTTTGCATTTCAGCTTAAACTCACTCTCAGAGAAGCCTTTCCTGACCCTCACTGAATAGTTTAGGCCTTCTAGATAAATGCTTTCATTGTGCCCTGTAATTTTCTTTGTAGAATTTATCATAATTATAATTATTTACTTGATATTTATTTTCTTTGCTAGATGGAAACTCTAAGGTTTTTGTCTTTCTTATTCAATGATTGATTCCCAGCACCCAGCTCACTGCCTGGGATATAGCAAGCATTTATACACTTGTTGCCTAGTTGAATGAATGAAAGAGTGGCCATATTAAGAGTAGAAAACATGATAAAAACAAACATTTTACAGTGAGAACAGACCTTTTTATTAATATATTGAGATAAACTACAGAGACTGAAAGACAAAAATTCATATTTCATTCAGAACATTCATTAAAAATCAAATGCATTTACTTTGCGTTCTCACAGAAAATTTTATTTAAGTCTGATATAACATTAAATATTTTACAAATCAGACATTTCATTTTAAAATCTAATTTATAATCCTGAATGCACTATAGACAAAGTAAGCTCTCCTTTACCAGTTTCATTTAACTTATACAAGGCTTCCATTATAATTCCATCAAACCTTAAAAATTACCTGCAGCTTTTAAAAATACATAAAGTAAATGGAAAGAAAGTCTTATGCAGCAATCCAATAACCAAAACCAGAAATTGGCAAGAAGCATTTCTTAATACAGATAAACTGCAAAATATCATTTATGTGTGTTTCTTCTCACTGGTTTAATCATCCTATTCAAAATAATTCTTTTTGAAACTAATAATTACAATACTCCAATGTCACTGAAAATCTCTATGATTTTAATTGTGTACTTAAATGGCAAAGTAGAATATCAGATTGAAATGTACAGTCTTGTGCTGAAGTGAATGAGGCTTGCCATGCCAGGTGTCATCTGCTATGCAGTTACAAGACATCTTGGCAACTAGTCATCCCAGTTTTTACTAACTTACTAAACAAGGACATTTCAAGAAATACTTCTTAACCCTATATATTTCCAGATGGCTGGATATAGAAAGATATAATTATGTTTGAAGCATGGACCTTATAATAGGAATCTCTGCATTAAAATATGAAAAAGAGCAACAGAAAGAAGTCACACCAATGAAATTGTGTTGACTGATTTTCAAAGTTAGAAATAAAAATATCCACTGCTAATGGAAGCCCTGCACTGTGCAAACATAGTGTGGTATATATTAAACAATCACACATTTGAGGTATTAGCTGGAAAAAAATATATATATACACCTGTACATAGACACATCCACAGAATATTCACAAATCTATTGGCCCCAACACCAGCAGATAGTCATATTAAATAAAAAAAATCACATACCAACAGGAAAAAGTTACACATAGGGAATTTACAAAAAATGTGGTGCTATAATCCTTAATATAAGGAGTATGTTTTGAATTAATGTTTTGAGGAAAAGTGTTTCCATTTATATGAAAGTTATCTATTTAATAGTAATAAAACCAAAAAGGAAGCTGAATTCTAGGACTGTTTTGCCTGCCAAATTATTGAAGGGATGAGCAAGAATTCCTTGAAAAGCCTCATTCTATCCTTTTTCTTTGTAACTAGAAATCAGAATTTAAAATGTTGGAAATTATTGCCAGATTCCTTTCTTTTCATTGGTTTATAGGGAATTTTATGGATTTTAACTAGGCAATAGTCCAATGTGGTCAACAGACATGGTTTTTCAGCTGTTGAATGAAAATTAAAATATGTATTGTTGATTTTCATTAGTTTTTCTGTTCAGATAAGAAAAAAGATTATGAATTCCCTTTCAGTTTGCTTCACTCAGTATGAAGATGGCTAGTAGTAATAGGATAGTACTGAACCCAAGCTTCACATGGGGAAGCTCAACAAATGTACAAATTCTCCTCTTTTAACCATTTGGTCCTTGGACATAAAACTTGCTTAACTGGCAAGATGGCTCACTTGGTCCTCAAGCCAACATCAAGAAATATTTAGCTGTCTTAACACAGGTGGGAGTTTTTTTTTTTTAATGAAATACATAGGAATCCATTAAGTAACAATCAGCATGTCGTATGTGTTAAATAGCTTCATTTAAAAATATTACAGATCAACAGAAGGGAAATCAAAAACTTAATCATTTTTCTCAGTAACTACTTTATATACTAGTGTAATTAAAGATTTAACTGGAAGAAAAATTAAGCATAAAAGTATAATTAAAGTAAAAAGCTGGTATTCCACATTCCTGTTCCTATGAACACCTGAGCTGACACAAAAGCTGAGTAGTTTAATGCACTGGCATATATATGCCTTAAGGACTGTACTTTTCTCTACCAAATCTTTGTAAATCATAAACAAGCATGTAATGATTATGAAACAAATATTTAGGTGTTCAAATGTAATCTGTTTACAAAATATATTCACTTATTAGATGAATCCAACTTGACATTTTTCATTGTTGAGAATTCAGTTCACATTTAATCAAACTACATTCTGAAATTTACAAATGACTAAATGACTAGCACCAGTCTATTTGGGAACTAAGGAATCAAAAGAAGAGGAGAAAGGTACTATTTTCATTTCCCCCAAACCCTCACAAGGACAATAATGTTTGTGTGTATATGCATTGGTGTATTTGTGTGTGTTTATGTAAAAAGGGGTAAAAATGTAAAATATTAATAAATATAACTGCTGCTAAACTGTTAGAATACCAGTTAGAGGAGCTAATAAAGCAATATTCAAAGATTGAGGACTTTTAGGTGGTCATTAGAATGAGCCAATGAAATTGCAAAGTTCATGTAGTTAAAAATAAGATGGCAAAATGTTGGGATTTTTATTATAAAAAAGCAGCAAACATGAAAATCTTTCATCTCAAGATATCTAAACTCTTCTTACTTTGTATGATTAACTCCAAATTATAAGACACTTGATGAGCTTTTACACCATGATATAGATGACATTAAGGACTGAATCTTTACTTGCATATTTCATATGTGGCTTAAACTGTCAGGCACTCAGTCTGTCATTTCTCACTGCAGAAAATTTTATCAAACACATTTTCCCTAGCATTTTATGAAATTTAATGGAATGCAGCAATGCAACTGAAATATAATACTGTCCAAAAGCCATGTATGACTTTATAATATACACTTTATGGTATCACTTAACTTTGTATAATAACTTCACCTATCTCCTTAAAGCTGGGATTAAGGGAAAAAGAATCAGTCAACAAGAAGGTAAGTTCACAGAATTATCAGCCATAATAGTGTAAATTTGCCATTAAAATTAGAAAAATAGATGAAATATTTTTCATTCAAGTTTTCATAAATTTTCTGATACATATGAACTTTCAAAGTTAATTAAAATGCTATGAACTTAGTTTTTTTAAAAAAGCTTACTCTACAGGCTCAACAAAATATTTAAAATTGTATTTTCTCTTAAGCACTGTTTTTTTTTTTAAGGTAACATTTCTAAGAGCAAGTTGGTTAAGCTGTCTAGTTTTCCTATGACAGTATGTTGTTTAGTTTAACCTACTAATTCAATCAGGCA